TACAGAGCAGTCTAAGGATTCAGAAAACAGGGAACTGGGGCGCCTGGGTGGCTCAGTTGGTTGGGCGTCTGCCTTCAGCTCAGGTCATGATCCCAGGGTCCTGGGATCAAGCCCCGCATAAGGCTCCCTGTTCCTCAGGAAGCCTGCTTCTCCCTCTCCCACTCCCCCTGCTTGTGTTCCTTCTCTCACTGTGTCTCTCTCTGTCAAATAAATAAAATCTTTAAAAAAAAAAAAAGAAAAGAAAAGAAAACAGGGAACTACCTAGCTTGGGGAATAAGTTATGTGTGATCCCTTAGCACCTCAAACATACTCCCACTCTAGGATTCACCACAGAATGTTTTATTCACATTTGTCTGTTTTGCTTTCCAGAGCTGGAACTTCCCAAATAATGTGCCTTTAGGGGCACCTGGGTGGCTCAGTCGTTAAGCGTCTGCCTTCGGCTCAGGTCATGATCCCAGGGTCCTGGGCTTGAGCCCCGCATCAGGCTCCCTGCTCCGCGGGAAGCCTGCTTCTCCCTCTCCCATTCCCCCTGCTTGTGTTCCCTCTCTCGCTGTGTCTCTCTCTGTCGAATAAATAAGTAAAATCTTTAAAAATAAATAAATAAATAAAATCTTTAAAAAAAAAAATTACATGCCTTTAATGCATTATAGGTCTGCCATACATCCCATCAGTACTGGATGGCTAGGCAGGGCTTAAGGTGGCTAGAGCCCAAGGGCCAGTCATCTCAGCTTGCAAGCACTATGTCTTTCTCACTATTACCATTCTCTGTGTATGCCATGACAAAAGGTTGGGGAAGTACTTCACTAAACTATGAGCCCTTGTCAGCAGGGACCATGCCTTATTCATGTTTCATGTCTCCAGCACCATGACTAATCTGTAGCTAGTGACTAACATGCTTGCTTTTGAGGAGTATGGTTCTACTGATGGTGGTAAAACATTTCTGAGGTTGAGGAAGACAGTATTCTATAGGTGATCCCTGATTCTTTTCCTGTATCTGACAAACTCGAGAAATGGTTGCTATGTTCTCAGAGCCCGAGCCCTAGCCCTAGGGTTCCCTGGATGGGCTTCACAGGCTTGGGGGTGGGGGAAGAACTATATGAGAGGCTCTAATTATGCTCCTCCCCTCTACCCCACTACCAGAGCAGCTCCATTTTTATCCATGCAATGTATTAGACTTCAAATAAGATTTTATAGAAGGTAACGTTTAATTCCTTTTAATAGAAGAGGAAAACCACTGCAACAGAGAGCAAATGTTCTCCTGCATCCTAAATCATGCTGAAGTTTAAACATCCATGCCTGACGCTCTAGTGTAAAAGCTCATAAAGGAAGGGTTATACCAGGCTCTCATCAGTAATGGAAGAGCTAAAGGGTACGATGAGATCTGCTACACCCAGTCATCTCATCTTTCTTCAGGAATATGGTGGTAATGGTGGATCAATGAATTCCCAAGCCATGTCCCTTCGGGTCCATATGGCACAGCAGATCCTTTGTAGAAGTCCAATACAAAGCTCTAAAACGTTCATGGAATCCCTACCGCAGTCAGTTCTTTCCCAGACTATAATGCAAGCCTTCAAACATTTGTGGAACTTCCAAATGCTCCCCATGTCTTTTAATTATCAAAAAGCTTTACTAGCATTCTACCTGTATTTGCAACAGATGTTGAAAAGGTATAGCAGGTAGAATTACACAGATATCACAACTGTGGACCTTAATACAGTACATTCTGAAACATACTCAGAGGGAGACATTTAAAGGAGATAGGACTAAATGAAAAGAGTGGCCCAGGAAATGGAGTTTGCTGAAATACTAATTGAGACCTAAAATAAAGGGACCCAGGAATCTATATCCCTGACCTAGGTCATTTAGAGTGCTCTTGTATGAAAGAGTCAACCGTTACTTCAATCATGCTGACTTTTCTAACATGAACACTATTCTTGAGCCCCCACATCCTCACCGTGCATCCAAGTTGATGGTCCAGGGCCCCTGCCTTGCTCCAGCTTCACCTCCCACTCAGGCAGCAGGAGCTGCCTCTGTGAGGCTGATGCTGAAAAAAGATTTCATTGCTCATAAGCCTACGACCAGCAAAGAAAGTCATGGTAACAATCATCCCTCTACACAGGCAGCAAGTTATTCTTTTGTCAACCTCCTCTCCTTTAAGGCAGCCCTGAGTGCTCATATTATTATTGCTATTATGATGATGATTATTAATAGCAACTAACATTTATTTGGGGCTTACTATGTGCTTTGTACAGTACTAAATACTTTACATGTATTATCTCATTTAATTCTCATGCCAATACTATGAAGTAGGTACTATCATTATCATGTTCTTTACTGATGAGGAAAATGAAGCTAAAGGAGGACAAGTTTTTCACCAAAATCATAAAACTAGTAATTAGCAGAGGCAGGATTTGAACCCAATTTTGTCTGATTCCAAGGTCCACACTCTAAATAACCATACCATAGTGCCTCTAAATTGACCCGCAACAAAAATGGTGAAGAGAGCCAAAAACAGTGATATGTTTTGAGTCTCGGGCTGCTTGGCATCCATTTCTAAAGGTGTATGGGGAAGCAGATTCCACAATTTCCCTGTTATTCACTCAGCTTTAACAAACCTGGTTTTAAAGAAGTTCCTCCTTCTAAGCAACAAATCCCACCCACTATCCTCTGAGTCCATTTCCTCTTATTATGACTCCAGTGGAAAGAGAGTAGCAGAAATGAACACACACAATATGATCCTCTGTGCACTTGAGACTTTACTTCCACTCTTTCCAGCCTGCTGCCACCCCTCCTTTATACTTGCATGCAGTTTAATAATAGCAGCTACCATTCACTGGCACCAATTCTGTGCCAGGCACCACATACATACATTGGTTCTCTCCTCTGTAATCTCCAGAATTCCAATTTTGACAATACTCGGAAGGACTTAACATCTTTGCCCACAGTGGGGAAGCAGGAGACCTGGGATTTCAGATAAATAATGACTTTGTGTTCTAGTAATATTTTTCTTTTTGGGTCTTAGTTTCCATTATCCATGCCTGTTTTGTGCCTCGTAGGAAGGTGGAGAGGCCATGACTTCATAATTACAATGCCCAAGGGCCTTTGTACCCTCACTCAGCTATCTCCAGGCACTCTCCCTGATAGCCAAGCCATCTCCTTCTCTTTACTTAAACTGTAGTCAGAAAGCTTGTTGAGTTCTACCCATTCACATCCTGTATTCATCCCAAGAGCCTACTGTTTGCATTAGGCACTGTGGGAGACACAACATGAAATCCAATCCCTGCAATCAAAATGTTTCATCTCTTTGGAAAAACAAGACTTACACATAAAATTTTTGATGATGCAAGGTAATAATTCTATGCTGGGGGGCGCCTGGGTGGCTCAGGCGGTTAAGCAGCTGCCTTCAGCTCAGGTCGCGATCCCAATCGAGCCCAGCATCAGACTCCCTGCTCAGCGGGGAACCTGCTTCTCCCTCTGCTTCTCCCCCTGCTCATGCTTTCTCTCTCTCTCAAATAAAAAATGAAATCTTTGAAATAATAGTAATAATAATAATTTCTATACTGGGAAGCGGGAAGCATGTAAATATGTGATACACAGGGGGCCCTTCCCAGCTAAATCCAAGGTCAATGATTCATTCTGTGAACAGTGACCTCTGTGGATCAGTTTCTTTCTTAAAATGAGCTTTTAGAGACATGTTATTCACACTCAGGTCTAATGTGCAATAACCAATTCACTGCTCCACTCCAGTCATATCAAGTGGAGACACTTACCCAAGAAGCTCAAGACAAAATGGCAGCAAAGATGGTCACTACCTGATTAAGGCCAGGGGAGAAAAGTATGCAGAGACTAGATTCTGTTCTGTTGCACTGACCCAAGCAATCAGACTCCTGCAGCATTCTCCTATCCATAAAACTTTCATGCCATAGACCAGGGGTGACCCAATCCAACAGCAGCAGAGGCAGGTTTTGAGTTACGCTTCTCCCTCAACCAGATGACCTCACTATTTCTTCTCACTCCTGACCACATACCACACTCCTCCTGGCCTGGCCAGAGGGAGACCGGCAGTAATACAACCCAGAAAGAAGGGAACTCCCCCAAAAGAGGAGCTACCACTTTGCTATGCAAGTGGCCGGGGTTAACAGGGAACTCCACCTCCCCCTCCTTCCCTCAAACACTGGTGTAAGCAATGGCTCCATTTTCTGTTCCGGGAATCCTGGTACTTCCTAAAGAAAGAAAGCGGATTGGAAGACACAAACTCAGAGCCAGCGACTAGCTGCTCCCTCCTCCTGTGAGACCGCCCCCGCTTTGCCTGGGGGAGGAAGGCACCACCTCTCCTCTCCAAGCAAGATCTGATCCCCCCACCCTCTTCTGCCTCTTCTCCTCCCGCTCCCCACCTGCTGCCCTGGTCCCAACGTGTGGTTCCCAAGACCCAAAGCGCAACCTCTACCGGAATAGTGCCCCTGGGGTGCCCCACTAGCTTGCCTGGCCGACTGATCCCTAAACCCCTTACGCACCCTTGCTCCATGAAGGGAGTACAGGGTGTCACCGCTGCAAGGCTCTGGTCTCCTAGTACTAAGGTGGAGCAGGAGAGAGGGTAGGAAAAAGCGGCATTCCCTAGCCCTTTAACAGGAAAAGGATACAAAACAGCCATCACCGCCCCCGCATCACCTCTCTCTGGACTGTTTTCCTCCACCTCAACCCCGACCCCTCGTAAGCCCACCTCCTGCAGGCGAGGGGAACCTAACTGCAGCCCGGGTCGCCCCCGCGTGCGAGGCAGAGCACAGATTCGTGAGCGCCCCCCACCCCCACCCCAGCTCCGCGTCCTTCAAATGTGGGGGAAGGCGAGAGACTGGCCCGGCACCCCCTCCCCGAGCTCTCAGGTGGGAAGGACCACACCGCTCCATGCCCGGCAGTGCCGGGGGGAGGGGGGCTCTATCTCCTCATCCCCCACCCCGAGCCTCTCCTCTACCGGGACCCGCCTTCCTTCCCCAGCCCCTCACCAGTTCCTGCTCCCAGCTCCGCCGCCGCAGCCGCCGCCTCCGCCCCCGCAGGTTCCGCTCGGCACTGGTTCCGCTCCCTCCGACTCCCCCAAGCCGATTTCGGCAAGGCTGCTCCCCTGGCCCCGCTCCCCAGCTCCCTCCTTCCTTTCCTCCACCTAGCACCGGAAGCCGCGACGGCGACAGGAGCTGTGCGGCGCACCCCCACCCCAGACCGGGATACTTCCCACCTCCCCGATCGCGCGAGAACTGCGCGGTAGCGAGCGGCAGTTCTCGCGATATCTATCACCATGGCAGCGGCTGCAGCAGAGGCAGCCGGGTGCAGGAGCTGAAGCCTGGGCGGGGGCCGAAGTGGGGGCTGCAGGCTGCGGGCGGCGGAGGCGGGAGCCGGGAAGTGGGGATGAGGCAGTGGGCATTGAGGTGAGAATTCCAAGCTCCGGGGCCATGCCTGAAATTTAATGACTGGAACTGCATGCTGGCCACACTGGAAGGGGCTGGGCGGAGAGGCAAAGCCAGGAGCCGGGTACGAGTGAGGAGCCCTTGCTGTGGCCCACCCTATTCTTCCAGACCACATCTTTATTTCTTAACCACGGCTAGCTGCATCTCCCTGAGAGCCCTCGCTGCATCGCTGTTGCTACTCACTCCTCCCAAGCTAAGACTGGGTTACTCAGGGGTCTGAATCAGGAGATCCTTTCCCATGGGGAAGAGGAGAGAGAGTGATGAATTTAAGAGACTGAAGGAAAGAACTGGACTCTGGTCCAGTTAGGAAGTTGGAAAGTGAAAGACAACCGTGGAAGCCTAATATTTAGAGGTGTGGTTTGAGGAAGTGTACCTAGATGACTATGAATTTTAGTATCCCAAGGAAAATGAGACTTTACACCCATGTTTCTCCACCCCTGCCCACCCCCACTTCCCTTACACTCATTTCTGCGTCTGATCTAGACATGCAGAGATGCCTTGGAACAGTCTCTGCTGTGATAGAAGGTCACTAGTAATACTAAGAACAGAAGGTTCTTTAAGTGGCCTCTCTCCTCAGTATAAGGGAACACATAGCTCTTCCCTAAGGCTTGAGCCAAAACTGGTGCTTTTCTGGATTTTTTTTTTTTTTTGGCCTTATTTCTTCTCTTTCAAGAAGAACCAGGTTGGTAGATAGCCACACTGTGTCTATCCCTTGTCCTCATCAATCCCTGATGTATATATTCACCACTCTCTTCCTCTTATCCCAGTCTGTTTTCTCTCTTATTCTAATGTGGAAAATAATATGGCCCTAGAATGTGAAGCCAAGAGGACCCTAATTTAACATAGTGAGGGATGATCTGGATAACAAGGAGCATGTTTATAGCAAAGAGAGTTGTATATGTCCTGGGCTGTTGCTATTAAGGGCCTTTGCCCTGCTAAGCTCTGTGTTGTAAATGGCAGAAGACTTCTTCAGTTTTATTGCAGACTCTTGGATCAGGCCCTGTGATACTTCCACATGACTACTCTTTCCATTTATTTTCCTAAAATTTTCACCCCACCAAGTTATGCCCCCACACCAACCACCAAAATTATGCTTTGCACCTCCCCCCTTCACTAGTGCCCCAACCACACCAACATGCCTCTTGAGATTCTGTCAGGAGGTAGAAATTCAGTGTTCCTGCCGGAGACATCACATACTCTCAAGGATGGGTCCTGGGTGTTAGGAAGGATGGAAATGGTGACAGCCTAATATGGTTAGCAGCAAGTACCATGACATTTGAGTCAGAACTGATGGATGCAGGGCTAAGTGGGTTAAGTGTCTGCCTTCGGCTCTAGGCTCTCATGATCCTGGGGTCCTCGGATGGAGCCCCATATCTGTCAGGCTCCCTGCTCAGCGGAGAGTCTGCTTCTCCCTCTCCTCTGCCCCATCGCTCCCCCCCTCATGCTCACTCTCTCTCAAATAATTAAAATAAAATAACTGATGAATGGGACTGGAGAATCTCCCAGGCTTTCTGTCCTTCACCTGTCTGGAGTCTGGAGTCTGCTGCAGCATCACTGGGCGCTTCCCATGGAGCAAACAGGAGCAGAGATAGGAGGGCGGCTGCCTAGCTGGCAATTAGCCAGCCACTGCCACTCCCCAGCTGCCCAACCACTTGAAAGGCTAAGGGAAAAGAGCTCATCCAGAGCTGAAGGAGGCCTAGAGGCCTGACTTAGAGTTCATCAGTCTTTCTCCCTCCCTCTGACTGCCAGTGGAGCTAAGTAAAAGCTGAAATTGTAGCCACCCGCTCTGTGGGTTGCACACTCCCACTCTCCTCACTGACCCCAGGCCTGGGTCTCAGCCCAGTGCGTGTGCCGGGAGCAGGGGTGGGGGGGTGTTGGCCATGCTGACAAAATCCATTTGGAATTTCTCAAGGTTGTGGTTTGGGGCTTAAGTTTGCCACAGAGTGTGCCTGACAAAAGAGAAAGCTAGAAAGAGAGGGAGCCAAAGAGAATACAGAGGAAGGAAACAGGAAAAAGCCGAAATATTCTTGCTGTAATACCATTGGAGATTCTCCTCCCTCTGTCTAAGTGTGAGAAATTCCCATTCTGGATGTTCCTTATCATTATTTTCTCTCCTATCCTATGCCCATTCTAGCTGCATCCCCTCTCTGCCTGACACCCCCATACACACCAGGCTCAATCAGTGACTAAAGTAAGGATGAGATGTCTTCCTGCTTCCATCAAGTTTCCCAAGCCCAGGATTCTCAAGTGGAAAATCAGGACATAAAATTTTGTCATAAAGTACTAGCCTAACCCAACATTCCTCAAAATGCCCTTGTTACCTGAGTAGCAAAATCACCTAATTTTGAGGGTAATTTGGGTAGCAGATATATCTATTGCCTAGAGAAATAGAGAAAACCATTTCTACATTCCCTGGCCAACGAGATGACCTGTTAGAGGCAGCATCTTGCAACCCCACAAACATTTAGTCACTTGTAAAGTTCTGAATGTGTGATGTCTATCCCTTTTCTGAATTGAATGATAATGGTTTGTTTTCAAAGATACTGAGTTAGGAAAAGACAGATTGTAACTGTAAAAAATCTGTTTTCTCTAGTTTTGGTTATGTCCTAAAAGATAAAGGAATTATTTTACTAAGATTAAATGCAGAAGAGTTCTGAATAAGGAAGAACACAGTACACATGCAAATAATTCAATAGGAAAGCATGCTGGTTTTGCTGGTTTCCAGAGCAAACACTCCCTTTTCAAGCACTGGAATCTCTTTTATATGTTTCCCATTAGTCTTATATCTACCTCCTAAGTTCTCTGACTTGGAGCCATAAAGAAAAGCACCTGCACTTTTGGGTCCAAACTTAATGTTGAGATACGTTCAGGACTTGAAATCTCTGGAACAGAGGTAACCATGGTATAGGGCAGGGGTTAACCAAGTACAGCCAGAGAGCCTAATCTCATCTGCAGTCCCATTTTTGTGAATTAAGCCTTATTGGACACAGCCATACCCATTTGTTTATGTGTGGTCTATGGCTACTTTTGATTCACAACAACAGAGTTGAGTAATTATAGCAGAGTTGAGTAGTTGCGACAAAGCCCACAAGCCTAATACAGCTGACCCTTGAACGACACAGGTTTGAACTGTGCAGGTTCACTTAATACACAGATTTTTTTTTTTT